ATAATGTTGAGTCATTGCAACGAGAGAGAACAGTGGCCGGATCAAACAGATTGTGCTCGCCAAGGACTCCAGCCTTGTTTGCTTCTATTAGAGCTAAAAGAATCGCTAACCAGAGACAGATTCAAGAAACAGGAATGTAGAATAAGGAGCTGGCCACGTTCCCAGGCCTAAGAATCTGCAGAATAAAAAGAGACTTTGCGCATGCCAGTCAATCCAGGGGAATCAGCAGCCCACTTCTGCTTGCTTTTAGAGATTATCTTCATGATTATGCTGTTGTTTGAGCCAAAAACGTAGGTCAAGGGTGGGTGCAGCCCCTCTTGAACTAAACTAAGCCAGATTCTTTTTTGATTTGCATGACCGGCAAGAATTTGACTGCAGTGCAGCACAGGCTTGCAAGACGTTCTCCTTTTGACATTCTCGTTTTGACGTTCTCCTTTTGACGTTCTCCTTTTGACATTCTCCTTTTGACGTTCTCCTTTTGACGTTCTCCTTTTGACATTCTCCTTTTGACGTTCTCCTTTTGACGTTCTCCTTTTGACATTCTCCTTTTGACGTTCTCCTTTTGACGTTCTCCTCCCTTTTCCTTCGTCATCTCGGTGGCGCCTTTCCCAAACCACTGTGAAAAAGCAAAATGGGAATTGTGCTGTCTTCACAGTCGTGTGAACCGCTGCAGAGAGGCTAGAAGCAGAATCACCGGCTCCACCAGAACCTCTACCGCTTTGGACAAACCCGTGAGATGACTCTGAATATTTCACATGCAGGCCCCACGGACCGACTCAACGTGAGAATGGCGTTCCGGAGAGGAGTTAGGAAAACATGGTTTTCCTTTCAGCTGAAGTGAAGCGCCACAGTAGAGGAAGATGGAGACGTGTTTGCTTGCTCCTGTCTGCTGGTGGTCCAAGATCCTTGCTCTTCCCAATCTTAGGGTTATTTACTTTAAATCAAATTGGGAAGAATAACCCTTTCAGCAGAAAAAAACATTGTCCGCTGACACCGCTTCAAACGGAGAGCCGTGGTGTAACGTCGGCCACCTAGCTAGCTTTTTCTCCTTCTCCGGCGAGAATAAAAAAAAAAAGAGCTGAAATCTGGAATCTGTTTTGTTTGTGGGTTTTGTATTTGAACGCATATTCAATCCTGCCACTTGTCTGAAGTGCTACATTCATCTTGAAAGCAGGAAAGTCATTTTATCTGATGACTCACCCTCTGGTAAGCTGTCCTGGCACTGCAAATCTTAATGGATGATTTTTTTAAAGCAAAACTAATCAATTATTTTCTCTCTCCCCCTCTCTCTCTCCTCTCTCTTCTCCCTCTCCCTCTCCCTCCCTCCCTCCTCTCTTTACAGGCACAAAAACCAAAGAAGGTATGGTGCAAAGTGTCACTTCCGGTAAGTGTTTTGAATGAGTGACATCCTCTCCTGTCTTCCTAAACCAGAGGTAGACAACCTTGGCTCTTTTATGACTCATGGACTTCAACTCCCAGAATTCCTGAGCCAGCATGTCTCAGTATGGAAACCTCTCCCTTTCCCCTCAGCATGGCTGGCTCAGAAATTCTGGGAGTTGAAGTCCACAAGTCATAAAGGGGCCATAGTTCCCCATGCTGGCTCAGGAATTCTGGGAGTTGAAGTCCACGAGTCATAAAAGAGCCAAGGTGGCCTACCTCTAGCCTACACTGATGTATGGCTTGCATAAATACGGGGGAATTCACTTATTTTCCAAAAATCAATCCATCTACTAACATTATGAAAGTTCATACAGCATGGCGCTAGAAAGGTAGAGATAAAGGCCCAATATCTCCAGGTCTGCATGTGTTGATGGTATTAGCTCAATTTTTATTTGTTTTGGAGGAATCACTTATCAATATAGATTATCAATAGACGATTGTAATGAAATATGGCCATTGTTCCATGAAATGCTTGTTACAGAACATATATCTGCAAAAATATGCCCTATATATTTTTGTTTCTTCTTCTTCTTCTTCTTCTTCTTCTTCTTCTTCTTCTTCTTCTTCTTCTTCTTCTTCTTCTTCTTCTTCTTCTTCTTCTTCTTCTTCTTCTTCTTCTTCTTCTTCTTCTTCTTCTTCTTCTTTTCTTCTTCTTCTTCTTCTTCTTCTTCTTCTTCTTTTCTTCTTCTTCTTCTTCTTCTTCTCTTCCTCCTCCTCCTCCTCCTCTTCTTCTTCTTCTTCTTCCTCCTCTTCTTCTTCTTCCTCCTCTTCCTCCTCTCCTCCTCCTCCTCCTCCTCCTCCTCCTCTTCTTCTTCTTCTTCTTCTTCTTCTTCTTCTTCTTCTTCTTCTTCTTCTTCTTCTTCTTCTTCTTCTTCTTCTTCTTCTTCTTCT